TGGGCCCTGTCCTCCGCGTGTCCCCGCCCCAGGGGCTGAAATGATGTAAGGGGATTGGCTGGAGGGGGCGGGGCCTCCCTGCGGAAAGTGACGTCACGATCACTCCCTGCAGTGTGAATGAATCAAACCTGCCTTCCGCGGAGCGGCACTCGGGCGAGCAGAGCTGCTGCAGCCTCCCTTAGCCCAGGATACACTAACCCGGGATAGCGGGCTCTCAGGGACAGAGAAGGGAGCAGGGCTCCAGCAGGGCCGCGCCTGCAAGGATCAGCCTTGCCTGCCCTTTCCTTTCCCGAGTCCTGGTGGTTTTCTTTTCCTTTGCTCCAGAGAGACAAGAAGAGCCGCTTTGCTTGGCTTTGCTCTGATTTGAATTCTTTTGCTGTCGATTGAAATAAAATGATGCAGAGCTCAGCACTGGCGGCCGAAGGCTCTGTCAAGGGGCTTCCAGAGATTCTCGGTGTGCCAATGCAACGTAAGGAAAAAAATTTTTTTTCTCCCTCATTGATTTAATCATAAAGAAAACGGGCAGCCTTAAAAGCGTAACTGCTGCAGGGAGGATGGTTCACTGCACAGTGAGAGGTGGAAAGGAGGAAAAAGAGCCACCCTGTGCCTGGGAGAGGCTGCATAAATGTAAGCTGGACGGGTGTTTTTTAGGGCTAGCCGGGATCTGCAGGGCTGATGGATGGGGCGTGCTGTCTGCCTTGGAGAAGTGCCTGGGAGGGAGAGGCAAGCGTGGGGTGGGAGAAGGGGGAAGCGAGGCAGAGATCCCGGGCACGATGCGGGGCTGGTGGGGAAAGGCGAGGGATAGGGAAGTAAAGAAACTCCCAGCTGGGAGCGGGAGGCCGCGCCAGCTCTGCCCAACTTTCCAGCTTCTTGCAGGAAGTTGGAGACCTCCCAAGTGGGCGCCCAGCTCGGAGACCCTGTTGCTGGAGGGCCATGGGGCAGTCTCGGGGCAAGGCGGGGGGGGGCATGTGCCATGTGCCAGATGTCATGTGCCATGCATGGTGCCATGTGCCAGGAGAGCGAGGGCCCGATTATATGCGCGGCCTTTCCCCACTCCCCCTGAAACACCCTCCTAGCCACTGCAGGGCAGCAGGGGGACGTCTCTGTGCGCTGCCCGGCTCCGGCTGGCGGGTGGGGGTAGGACGAGACGTGCTTTGTTTGGACACGCGTGTGCCGAGGGACGTGAGCCACAGCCGCCGCGTGTGCATCGCGCGTGGCTGTGCGGGAGCGGCGGGGGCGGGCGACCGGGGGCGGGTGCC